TGTTATAATTTATTTTTCCATGATCGATGGAGATGGTCGAATAGTAATATTGCACAGATGTGGAAATGGCCAATTCCCCATAAGGTACAGATTTTTATTTGGTTGGCAGCAAGGGATAAAATTCTAACTGTGGACAACTTGATTAAGATAGAAAAAATTCTACCTAATGTGTGTCTCTTATGTAAACAAGATGCTGAAAATGGAGCACATCTTTTAATTCATTACTCCTTTACTGCGAGGTTGCGGTATTGGTTGCTTGGGATGGTGGGTGTTCTAATGTCATTACCACAATCAGTAGGGGGTATTGTATCCTTTTTGAAAGTGTCACTTCTTTACAAAAACGAGGCAACAAATTTGGAAAATTTGTGTTGGTACGATCCTTTGGGAAGTGTGGAGGGAGAGGAATCGAAGGACCTTTGAAGGAGTTGTTTGCTCCTTTGATCGTTTGCTCCATATTTGTAAGACTACGATTTGGGCGTGGTTGTCGGTTCAAAGGAAGGATGGGGTATTAGTAAGGTGGATGTTATGGTCAATTTGCATAATCTATTCTCTTTGGGACATAGTACTACTGCTCATCCTAAAAGTATCTGGATTGCTTCATGCCTTGGTAGCAACCCAGGGCTGGCTAGAATTGGTGGTGTTTTGAGGAATTCCTATGGAAGTGTTGTTTTCTCCTTTGCTTGGCCCATAGGTGTCAAAACTGCTATTTTTGTTGAATTAAACGCTTTATTGTGTGGCTTGAAGATCTTTTTAGAAAAGAATCTACAGTCAAGCTGCGTTATTGAAAGTGATTCTCTAAATGTGATTAAGTAGTGTAGATTGGAGCAAAACATTACCTGGGAACTTCGGTCTCCATGTCATGGATTTAGCGACAAGTTTAACAATATCCTTCTTGCATGTTTATAGCGAGGCCAATTTTCTAGCTGACCTTCTTGCCAACGGGGGTACTTCTTTATCCTCTCTAGTTGTTTTTGATGATGTTATTTCCTTTGGTTAAAGTCTAAAAAAATTATTGATCTTGCTCAAAAAAAAAAAAAAAAAACAAGTAATAAAACACAATCAAACCAGCTCCTTTCCAAGGCCATTTTGGACCTTACTAAACCTTGGTAGTATGTTCAAGTTTTTTCATTGTGTTCCATGTTTTGGTAATTTGAACACCTATAATCCTATCCTATAGTGCCATTTTGCGTCAGTATACACATAAAATTCCAAATTAAGCGATTTTTTTTTTTTTTTTTTAAGTTTAAATGTGGGAATGAAGGGTGGAACGTCAACTTCAGGCATCCCGCATTAAGCTCAAATAATAACTTACAACTAATATTGTTGCCAAAGCGGGATAACTCAAATCCCTAATTGATCTTATGAGCTCCGCTCCCCCCAACAATGAATTCAACACCTGAATAAATTACCTAAGAACAATAATATGTACAATATATTATATTTGAAAAAAATATAACAATAAGAAAATAAGTAAAATGGGAAATCACCAAACCTCATAACATAAGTAAAAGTATAAAGCACATATAAATTTACGTGGTTCACCGAAAATGGACTACATCCACGAGCAATGGGTAATGATATATTAACTATCAATAGAAGAAATTTATTAATTTGGGTTTTATAGATATTACCTCACATAATGGAAAAATAACCTTAAATAGATTTTTTTTTCTGCCACAATACCACCATCAATCTCTTTTTTTTAACATTAACATGACCTTTCTGTTAAATAAAAAAAGAGATATAAGATACAAGATATACAGGAAATAAAAAAGAGGAAGCATTAGAAAAAATTGACAAGCTGAGAGGTGGAGTTAGCTCTTCCTTTGGCTAAAGCATTTGCCTCTTCATTCATCTCACGATAGCAATGATGCAAATTAGCATTGAAAGAAGAAATGATGTTGAATTCTTCACGGATCTAAAGCTATGACATTTGCCGAACATTGAATTCTTCGTGAAACAATACTCTAAAGCTCCATGAAACATTGAATTCTTCGTGGCTCCAAGCTATAACATTTACTGAATCTCCTTCAACAATCGTATGCCCTTCTCACCATGAAAGAAGTTTTAAACCCTCCAGGAGACCTCTACCCTCTGCTTCATTAGCAGTAGCAATACCACAGGCACCTAAATATGAGCACTATACTTTTTTATGTATAATCAACCCACCATAGAGAACTGCTCCTGGATTGCCAAAGCTGCTGCCATCAAAGTTCAATTTGATTGAGTATAAAGGAGAAGGAGAGCAAACAACATCTCTTCCGGTGGATCTCATGTTGCCCAAGGTTGCGACTACTTAGGGGTTGTGAATGATAAAGACTATTCGGTGTAGAGCCACTATCTTTGTTAGATGAAAACCAATCTACAACTAAGGCTAAACTGTTAGATTTTAGCATCAAAATCAGTAGAGATTCCTTCAAACACTTTTCATTTTCTCTCCTTTCACACACCCCAAAAGACACTTACCCATAAAGAACACCAAAATATATTGCCCACCTTTGGTATATCAGTGGACAACCATTTAGAGATAAGCAATCTACAAAATTTTGGAATTAGAATGGATAAGTTGAAATATTGGCAAACCCAATTCCAAAGATAAAAAATGAAAGGGTAGAAGCGGAATAAATGTTAAGCCATCTAATCACTAGCTTTGCATAAAATGCAGACATTGGGTATAATGAACACTCGCTTCCTTAAGTTATCCACAGTGGCTAGCTTGTCTTGATAAAGTATCCATAGAAACAACTAAACTTTAAGTGGAACATGGAGTTTTTTTATCTAAGAAAGTCCTGAATCCAGTTGTCTATATCGATCGCAAAAGATAAGAGCATATGTTGACTTAACCATAAGAAATACTAATAAAAAAAATCGACCCCTCTCTCCGTCACCATTGCTGTGAATAAATGCTAATAAAAAACCAGCCCAATAAGAGGCCATAATAGTGCTAGGATTTGTAGAAAAACCCTAATTTCTATCTCACAAACTTATCTATATGTTTTTTTATATATTTTCTCTCTCTAGAAATGTATTTTTATAAGGACTCCATAAAACGCCAATGAAAATACCCCTTGAGAGAGAGCGAGTATCACATGTGAGTGATCTTTACATCACATCCCAACAATATTTACATGTGTTCTTTATAGCAAATATTAGTCTTAACCCCCACAAATTATATAAATCATTGTTGTCCAAAATGTTCCACTCATAAGAATATGGGTCTTATGACATTCGCACTTCTTAGCTGAATGGCAAACTTCACTGTGATGGAGCGTAAGTGTCTAGGAAATTTTATGCCAGAGAAAGAGGGTAGAGAGTGAGTGGGGTTGTTAAGAATGACAAAGCATCCAATAATATAAGATGCCCTTGGATAAAGAATATGTGAGCCGGATAGTATATGTTGCAGTATAAATCCAACAACCTAGATTGAAAAAAAGGACAATCCGGACAATTGACAATGGCTAACATAATTTTCCTAACATTTTTTAAGTGTATTTATGTTGTATTTTTATTTGAAGCACTTAGATGAGAACACATGTGCGCAAAACTTGGAGTCCTTTAAACACTGACCTTTTTCAAAAATAAATAAATAAATAAATAAAAATAATTCTAACATGCAATGATGACGGTTCATTTCTAAAACATTCAATCAGGGCCATTTAACTTCTACTATTCCTTTTGCTTTCTAATGCCCTGAACATTTCTCATCAAAAGTTCTCCCTTTGTACTTAATGTATCTTATTTTTTCTATTAATAAAATGAGTAGGGGACTGACTTTTCCTGCCGATTTAACCCGAAAAAGAAAATTAAAGAAATTATCACGTTATAAACAGAAGAGTCATTTGGACCTTAAGAAAGAGAAATATGCCCAGCGGTCAACCATAATGCAAGGTAAAAGATAGGGGAAAGTTGACGAGACCCATTCAATAAAACTGAAGCTCATGAATAGGACACTTCCACTTTAATCGTTTCCTCTCGGATTTTCAAATTAGGACACCAATAGCATAGTCCTCTGGGAGCAAATTGTACACTTCCTCTCTCGAGTAAAATGCCAAGTTAGGAAGACTTGTTTCATTTTGGTATTTTGACAAATAACGTATAGATATTTTTTTAAAAAAAAAATGATTTTCAGATCCTGTAGAACTAAATTGACCATCAAAAAAAGGATAGCTCTTGTCTGAGCAATTCTAGAGTTTGATTTCCACCCTTTTCTTAGGTAAGAAAAATGGTCTATAGAATTACTAAATTAGTGAACCACATCACCAAAAAATTAGATTTCATAGTATACTGCTAAAGTCCCTGGGAGAAAGTGACCAATTTGCTCCCGAGAGAACATGTAATCTTTTCTCTCAATTTGATGAGAAAGAAAGACCAATCCAAAAATACATTTTATATAGTCTTCATAGACTATTTCATGTTGGAAAATTGTCATGCGGGCTGCACCGCATTTTTACAACATGCGGTCCAGAGTTATAAAGTATCCATCTTGAAAACGGATGCAAATAGGTGGTCCATCTAAAAGCAATAGTAACTAATGGTCAAAATATTTTATTTAATATAATCATTATTTATGGTTTTTATTTTTATTTTATTTTTCATATACACAATCTACATGTTAAAAATTATATATTCTCTAAAAATTAGGATCAAATTATTTTTATAAAATATATTTATTGTCAAGCCGGCTTTTCTACAATATGCGAGCTGGCTGCATGGAAACCGTGTCCTCTCATCTTTTGACCAGGCCCAACCCATTCTTTATTGGGAAAAATAATACACACCACATTCTCAATCTTCACTTAAAACAAAATGTGCTTCTTTGCTTTAAGAAACTCCATTCAAGTTTGAATCTCTCTCTCTCTTTCTCCATTCAAATTATAAACATAGTCAAATCTAAAATTGTTACTTCTTTCAATTCAACGCTCACTTCTTTCAATTCATACTTAATGAATGGCCATTTAATGTATTGGCCCCTCTTTTGAGCGTACACATATATAGACCTTCAAAAAGTTCAAAGTTTGCATAGAGAAGATGGCAAGGGTTGTGAAAAGAAGTTCATGTTTTGCTTTCCTCATGAGTTTATGTTTCGCTTTATTCTTCCTTTTGTGCGCCACAGGTTCTCTTGTTGAATCAAAAAGTCATGGTAACTTTTTCCCCTGATTTCATTTTTTTATTATCCTTTTTATTTTCTCTTCACTTTTATCAAATAAAATGAAACAATTGTTGGAGTTTTAACCTAGTTTTCAAAACGGCGCCTTCGAGTAAAAGACCTATTAGGGAGTTTGGGATCCACTTTAAAATCACTACACGAGTATTGTTAAAAAAAAAAAAAGGTTTCACGCCTCAAAACACTTAATCTAGGCATCCAAGAATTAGACAGCCTTTGATCAATTTTAATATGCTATATTTTCAAGCACATGTAGAGTATATACCTATATTTCTTTGTTCCTGGTTTTAATGAGTCCACTTACTCATCTATAGAAATGCATCCTCTCTCCTTAATAAGTTTTTGACATAGATTTTGAAGCAAATACTTTAAGGATCTACAATATCTATCTTGGAGATTATTCATTTGGAAACTAAATAAATTTTATAGTTTAGAATTAGTATTTTTTAAGAAAAACTTCGAACTTATTTTTTTTTTTTTTTTTTGTTGAATTCCCTTTTTTGCGGTTACATGCATTTGGTCCCCTCTGCCACATCAAACAATGTCCCTTTATCTTTTTTCTTTGTGGTTGGTCGAGGAGGTTACAACCCTGAAATTTTAGGGTTTTTACCCTCGGGAGCATACAACCTTTTTGGCTTGATTCTCTCTTGGGTTACTTGGATTTGCAGGAAATGTGCTAACCATGATGCACCGAAGGGTAATGAGAGATGGTTATAAGCCTCCTTCTCCCCGACCAAATGGTCCAGCTAGAGGGATATCGGATAGTTAGCCATAGATCCTTCATTTTGATGGCTGATGTGCACTTGAAACAAGGGACGCAATCCATCTCAGTTCTATACTACTATTCTTACATAATAAAGCTTGTATGAGAAATATGTTTACCAGGGAATGTTATTGCACATAAGACCAACAATAATTTAAGGTTTCCTTTCTTGTGCCACGGCTGAGAGGAGATAAAATGGGAATAAATAGTTTTGAAGATGGTAATCTATGTATTAATGCCTTTTATCTGCTATATTTGGTAATAATTTGCAACAATAAATTGTTCCTTGCTTTGTTTCTGGATCCATTTTTTCCTATTGGCTTATTTCTTTGGGAAAGGTTTCTATTTTTTTCCTACAGCATAGAAGATCTATACTT